TATATATATATATATACGACTGTATAGCATAGGCTATTCTTTCTTTATCATTTAACTTAATAACAATGTCTTTGTTACATTGCAGACCCGTGGCATCATATCAAGAATCTCGACAATTTCTTCACAAGAATATCCTTTAAAAAATATTAAAACAATATGCAGTATTATTTATAGGCTGAATAGGAAAATTCATGCTTTTTAATGAATTTTTCACCCCTAAATCAGCAGTTGTGCAATAGCTATAAACTCCCAGAATGGTATCATTTCTCTTGTTCTTGAAAACACACTGTCTCTATTCATCATTAGGCATTAATATTATGTTACACTCTGGCTGCATTAATGGCTGAACAATGCTGTACTTCTTTAAAACTGTTTCAACTATCATTGGAATGCAAGAGTCTTTAACATGCTCACATCTATCATTTCCATCAGAGGAATGGATTCGCCTGTATGGTGTTATCAGAGTTTTTTGAACTTGTGTAAGTCCTATTTATTTTCGCCTGAAGCGTTAATTCTTTCAGGATTGCATACTGATTCGCAAGAACTAATCCTGTCTGTTTTTGCTTTCCCATATTCAGGCAATTCCTGTTTGTGGTCACGTTTACAACTTTTCTCTTTAACTGTGTGGAATATGATGTTCTCTTTGCCAACCGAGTGGTCAACCACACGGGTCAGAGCCTCGGTCCTCTGGACAGGAACAAGGTCACCCTTCCTGATGCGATTTTACCCAGCGAGCAGTGCACTGAGAGGTCAGTGTGTCCGCTTTATACAGGCACATGCACTGAGGCAGAGCGTCGCTGAGCGTCCTTATATTGTGAATTGAATTCAGCTTTGCTTGTAGCAGTTTGTTGATTACTCTGAATTTTTTATTTAGTTAAACAACTACTTACATCATTAACCAATTTGGTGTTTGTATCATTAGCTAGTTTTTCATTAGATAAGTAAGTAAAGCTAAGTAAAATAAGGTTAAGTTGAAGTATTAAAATTACTTAAACTGGCTAAAAATAAATGAAAGCTAAATAGAGATATAAAAATCGAATAATAAATCATTAAAACAATGAAAAGGATAAAAGCACATAATAAAACTATTAAATGAAATAAAGCTATACTAAATGAGATGTAAGTATTAGATAAAAAAAATAAAATTTTTGTAAAAAAAATTACAAATATTGCATTGGCAACTAACTGAAGTAAAATAAGATTAAGTTGAAGTATAAAAATGACTAAAACTAAATAAAGAATGTAATACTCACTAATTAAAATGAATACTGAAAATATAAAACTGAATTTAAAAAAGTAAAAAAATATATAAAAATGACAAAAGCACATAACAAAACTATTAAAAATGAAAACTGAAAATATAAAAATAAAAGCTAATTTCAAATGTTAATAAATACTATATTACTATACAAATAATATTATAGTAACACTGGACATATTTCAAATATATTTTATTAATACAGAAAATCCTAGTTTATAAAAAGTAAAAAAAAACGTTTTTTTTTCACTGAAGCAAGCAAAGTTCAGTGTTTAGGTTTTGGCTCTTACAGCTGTTTTCAACATTGATAATAAATATAAATGCTTCTTAAGCAGCAAATCAACATATTAGAATGATTTCAGAAGGATCATGTGACACTGAAGACTGGAGTAATGATGCTGAAAATTCAGCTTTCATCACAGGAATAAATTACGTTTTAAAATATATTCAAATTAAAAAAAAAAAGTTTTTTTGGCTCTTAAAAAAATATTATGTTTTAGAAAATAACAAATAGGTATACTTATTGGACAGACAGTTTTCTGATATCACAAATAAAATATTTTGATTTTGCATGTGAACTTTTATTGTAATGCACCACTCAAGGTTTATTTCACTTCAGGTTTGGATCTTTTGGAAAAACATTTGGAACATGTTTTGTGTTCAGTTTTCAAAGCTTTAAGTTGTAATTGCCATTTTCTTGGTGTTTCAAGCTCAATTTCCATAGTAGCCTGAAAGCAAACATGCCCTAAAGCACTGGGTGAGAATGCTGTTTTCGCGCATGTGATCCATTGCATCACACTGGAACTCAATTCAGCTTCACCTGATTCGTTTCCTACTTCTCAGACAGTGGCTCCAAAATAAGCAAGCTGTAAACAAGCACCTGTTGTGAACATCAGCAGAGGGATGTTCAGCTCTCTCAGACCCTGCCATTCTATTTCTGTGGCCGTAGATGATACTGAAACTGTGTATTACGTAGAGCTCATGGGTTTTAAATAGACACTGGGATGTTTTGGTCCATTTGACATTGAATAGCTATTTTGCTTGTTTCTCAGATTTTTACTTTGCAAACCTTTTCATGGACACCTAGTGTTTTGACACAGAGAGACCTGTTCATGGACACACAGAGATGTGGTGTTGACAGACACAGATATGCAACACAAACATATTAATATCATAGCTGACTCACTTCAGTGAGACTAATTCAGGAACATCTTGTGCTGTCATACAGTAATTAAGACTTGGTAAACATTCTCATTTGGTCAGTCATATTATTTTCGAAATGCTGATTTGGTTCTCAAGAAACATTTTTTTATTATTGTCAATGTTGAAAATGCTTGTGCTGCTTCATATTTTTGTACAAACAGTGATTTCAGGATTCTTTTGAAGACAGAAAATTCAAAAGAGCGGCAATAGAAATCTTTGTAATATTATATATGTCCTTTCTCTCACTAAATCACATATTGGGTATTACTTATCATTTAGTATTTAGCATCAGTTTTGTTAAGTTTGGCTTGTTAGGCTGAGTTATATATGACTTTATTCTTATAATGTCATGAACCATGAGCAATCCCACAATCACCTGCTGCCATCATAGTGATGATCTTCCTCTCCCAATCAGGATTCAAGGAAACAGCTGGATCATCTTCCTCTTGATAATGGCAGCCATTTTCTGGGTCTATCGACTCGTGAAGGTGATCTGCAACGTCCTCAGCTACTGGGAGATCCGACAGTTTTATAAAAAAGCACTGAAAATACAGATGGTAAGAGATGATCACCAACAAGATTATAGTTTAAAGTGCATATTTAACATGCTGTGTCTGGCTTTTCATAGTTCTTAGTCACACTTTTTTCCTTTGATAGATCATTTTAAATGGTCAGACAGTGTGACAAAGTTTTAAAAGTACAAATATTCCATGTTGTCTGTCAGTTAAGTCATAAAATGGCATGTATAATAATCATAAAATTCTGAACAAATGCAGTTTAATCTGAAACTGCTCATTTAAGAATGCTGTAGTTTAAACAGTTAGACTGTGTAGTTTTATCTTTTGCAGCCCTGAGGTTGTTGAAAATGTATTATTTATTATTATTTTAATAAATAATCACATTCATTTGTCATGCCTAAATATAAATGCTAAATATTTATTATTTAATAAGTAAATAAATATAATATTTATATTAGTTAATAAACGAATAATCAACTAATATAAATATTTATTTACTTATTAAATTATATAAAT